GTCTGCTCAGGACAGAATGGCATTTTTGCCAACCCTTCCCATCTCAGCAGAGTCCTGCCAGCTAAACTGCTGAAAATGGTCCGCTATCAGTGGAGTGATCCTAAAAGTAATACCTGTCTGATTGAAATCACAGAGATGGGGATTTGAGTCCAATATCTGTTGTATTTTGTGAGAAGGAAAGGAAGACCTATGTCCCCGGCAACTTGAGCTGTGTCTGGAAAAGACATTGAAAAAAATGATAGATCTGTCACTTCATAAGTCAGACAAAGGATGAGGTATAATAAATACCTGTGCTCATCCTCCTTCACTGAAGTTGTTTTTCATTTTGATTAGTGATTTTAAAAGCTCATTTCTTACTTTTCTGTTTTACTTCTAGGAAGGTTTTCCATTATACAGTCTCTATATACACATGAAAACAAAGATCACAATAAACCAATATATGCACTGAGAGTAGAACTTTCTTCTCAAATTAAATAATAGTGGTGATATAAACAGGTGAAAGTATTTTACCAAGGTATTAACAGCCTCAGGATCTGTATTAATGACAGGCTTATTCAAGTATGAAATGCCTACTGGCTTTTCTCCAAGGTATTTAAACTAATCAGATGCTAAGAATAAGGGAATAGTTTTCCTTTCACTCTCACTTCAAGACTTTCAAATTTTCATTGACTTTGATGATACCTGCTTTACACCAGGACAAGTGAGAGAAGCATCAAGCCAAAGTCCACATGTAGCAGCAGGTCTGAAGGTTGAGCTGAAAATAGTATTATTGACTAACCCAATTTTAGAATGAAGGATAAGTCAACCTATAATACTGACAAAAAAAAAATTGCATCCCAAGTATAGGTGGTTTCACTTTATTTTCGGCACCCATGTAAAGTCATTTCCTTCAAACTGACATTTGGCAATTCTGCATGAATTAAACCTGGCAAAAAAGCAAACCAAAAAAAACACCACCAAGTCATAAAATTTATATGTCTTTTCTTTTTTCTGAGCTTGCTAACAATGATTCATGTATTGCTCCAAAAGCTGATTGGTTTTGTGAGTTGTTTTAGCTCAGGGAGGGGAAATCTGCCCAAGGACACATTTTATATTGTAGGCAAATTCAAAGACATAAGATGCCCACAGTTTTGAAAAGGAATGTGTTGCTCAAAAGGTGAAACAAGGAAGAAAAGGTAACTTCCTTGAGCAATGAAATTAAAAAAGAACAACTTGCCAGTTCTCTAAATCTAATCCAGAATTTTCAATGGAATAAAAATTTGTTTTGATATATACAGTTGCACTTATGGACATGGTCAAGTGCTGGACTTGATTCTCCAGCAGGTTAAAGGTAGGGACTTAAAGGTAGGACTCTAAATATAGGTTAAAAGTTGGACTCTAATCTTAAAGGTCTTTTCCAACCTAAATGATTTTATTATTCTGTGGATTGTGTCTCTGGACTTACCAGAGATTGTTGTACTGAGACAAATAAACTGAGGACTTCTGGGCACACAATAAATGACCATGGAAAAATAAGAATGAAATTAGTATTGAAATTAAGTTGGTCATCTAGTTTAGTCCATTGCTCAAAATGCAGCAAAGTTCAAACTAAGACTAGGTTTTCTTTCACTGTTTCAAACAATCTGGCTCAGCATTTTGTGACAGGCTTTGTAATGTAGTTGCTGTTTGCCATTTTTCTCAAGTCATTCTGTAACACCCTAGCTTTATCTGTGTGGGAAAGGCATTGACCTGAAAGCAGTCTTAAACATGGAACATAGTGGTGTCCCTCTGTGCCTGAAGAAGGAAGATGATTAGAGATGTCTTTTGACAGATCACAGATGTGAAAGACTGCAGAAGGATTCTGGGTTTTGTGAAACTCAGGACTGAGCTGGGAACTGGTATTCTGTCACATCCCAACCAAGATAATACTCTGAGGATTAACAGTGCCCTCAGAAGCACCACACTGCAATTGCTGCCAAGATCTGTGAGACAAGTACAACATTACAAAAGAAGAAAGGGTTTTAACTGCTTTGACCTGCAAGAACTAAAAATGCACTGAAAAACTAAAAAGGATAAACAAGGAAGGGAGAAACTCAAAATGGTATCGCTGAACACTTGAACAGACTTGACAATAATGGGAAAACATTGGAAATTATTACTACAAGTATACCAAACCTTTTAAGCTTTCACGTTCCCATTCCCTTGGCATTTTCAATGACATTTCCTTGGCTAAAGCCTCAACTGTATTGTAAATACTCTGCAGTCACAGGTCATTTGAGCAACTCCAGTTTGGGCAGTGTTTGTGATTACTTTTAGAAGAGTGTATGGAATGAAATAATTTAAAATTGACTACATGAAGCATACTTTTGATAATCACATGTTCTCTGTACTCATGCTTGAATTTATCTTCCCAATTACAAACATTTCCAGATTGCTTCTGACTTGTCTATTAAAATATACTCGGTGCTAATCAAAACTGTGCATAACCTACTAATCATGCTGTCAGCTGCTACTAGCTCTGTGGATATGGCAAGATTCAGGAGAAAAAACCCTTGAATTATATGGTTATCTAACCTGGTATTTGTTGATGGGCTTATCATGTACGTTCCAAAAGGGCAGGGAAAAGGAATAAACTTAGGAGGCTTGGACAAATGTTACCAGGTGCTCTAAAACTGTGGTCAGCTTTCTGAATACTTGCACATGAGAAAGGGTAGGCAAATGCCCTCTCAAGACATGTTCCAGTGTGCTTTTCTAAGTAGGACCTAGGCGATTAATTTCAATTTACGCACAGTGAACAACTGAATGTAAATCAGAAAGCAGCAAATGCAGAACCATTTTGCAGTGTAATAAACCAAAAATTCTACAATTTTTGTTTCACTTGAAAACATTTCCTACCATTCTGAACTTGCTGTTTTGTCTTACTGAATTATTTCATTATTATTGATTTCCATGCCAGCAGCATTCACATGCTTAGAGAATTCTCAAGCAGTGTTTTACACATTCTTGCACATTCATGCACGCTCTCCAACACATAATCTTGCCTGAAATGTTCCAGTGGCAGTCAACAGGGCAAGAAATATTACTACTTTTATCCCTCATACTGGAAATCAAGACCTGGAGAGATCAGGGCTCTTATTAGGAGTTCTGCAACTCATTATGCACAGGTAAATTGTTACAAGCATGCAGAAGTCTCCTGTTTTCAGAGGGATTTGCATGAACATAGCACAGACTGCATGAAACAGGCTGCAAGGCCAGATCCCAGTTCATCATTTAATGTCACTCAGAGACGTAGTTATGTGCACAAAGCATGTGTCCAGCAATACTAACTTATTAAAGTTACTGAGAAAGAAACAAGAGGTATTTTCAATGCTGGTTTGTTTATTTGTTTGCTTGTTTTTCATTCAGCAGCTCATGGCTCACTAGTTATAATACTAAGCTTCTGGAATAATTGCATAGTGCCTGTTAAATACATGACAAACTGGGAAAGTGCTAGCTTCCAAAAAGCAGTTATCAATTAGTAGGGAAACAGCAGGGTGAGGGCGTGTACTAATTTCTCAATAAATCCTGATGGCCAGGCACAGCTTATGTTGGAATCAAAGATCAAATACTTTATTCTTATATTAAACACCAACAACAGTGGAATCTCAGAACAGAAGATTTTATTCTTTAGATCTGTATTTGTAAAGGCTCCTAAGCTGTTTTACAATTGCTGCTGAACATCAGTGCACTCAGATTGTTTTGCTGCTGCTCACAGAGTGAATGGGAAACACCTAGAGGTAAGAACCTGCTTCAAATCAATTTACTGTCTTATTAATGGGTAAGAAGGTAGAATGCTAGCAATGGTTAAAAGTCATAACTCTAGTTACTAGCTATAGCCACATGAAATTAGTCTTTCTATTCTTGCCCCATAGTCAATGAAGAGGGAGACCTTTAGAATATCAGCTACCTTCTTTTGTTGCAGTGGAGTGATGCACTTCACTTGTAAGAGAGAAGTAGCAGTATGTTTATTGATATAAAACCATGACTTAGCAAAGTTTGATAGTAAATGTGACAGTGGTTTAACAAGGCTCAGTGGCAAGGTACACTTGATTAGTTACTGCATAGAGGACAGGGTCAGACAAAACTGTCAGGGAGACCCTCCCATTGAGTCATGATGTTGCTGATTTGGGGCTTTCTAAACAAAGAATCATAGTCTAGTTTTTAAATGAGACACTTATTCTATGCAGGGTGCTCAGTGGAAGTCTCCACAAATCAAGCACACTGATGACTCTAAGCTATTTATACATTTTGAGAAAGAAATCAGTATCGATTGGTTGAGAATTATGCAATTTGTTCATTAACTAGTATGCCACCCCTTACTGGTTAGAGGTCCCTCTCATTTCTCATGCAAATCAGGCATGCAGGCTCAGTCTTTCTCTTCTCTTGAGTCAGTGGGCTGTAAGTCATGCTGCTCCTTCCAGAATTACCTTTTGTCTAATTACTGCCCATTTTCTTCTGGGTAGTCATCCAAGGGCTGGGGCCTGATGTTCCTTATTATCAGTCCTGACTCATTACTCAGAGAAGCAGGGTGTACGTTCTTTGCCTAGAGAAGACTTTGAATGTTATGTCAGATATCTAGCAGAGCTATGATTGGATTAGCATTGTTTTGGGAGATGTTACAAGCACCAGTAAGGTTCAGAAAAGACCCCCTTGTGTTCTAAACTTCTTTTCAGAGGCAAGTTTAGGTGCAGCTGGATCCAAATTTAATCCTAAACTTGGTCAACGGTGTATGTCTACAGGATTATATGTGTACAATCAATCTTTTATCTCAGTTAGCTAAGATTTCAACATTTAGCATTGTTATTAATCACAGATACTAATAGGGAACAAATCCATCAGATTTTTTTTCATGGAAAAAGCTGAAAATTCAAGTCATTTTTTCCTTAACAAAAATTGGAGAAGACACCAAAAAAAAAAAATATGCAGAAGAGAGATACATAAAATCTTAATGTAGATGATGATGAGTAGAGGTATAAAATATGCATATTCAGTTTCCAGGAGTGCCAGTGCCATACCCACAGCTGATCATGGTAAGACAGATACACTAAAAATGCTCTATGTGGTGCATATCGAATGTATGCTAATAATGCCGGTAGAAGAAATGCAGAGTCCATACAGCTCTGAAGCTCACTAGAAGTATGATACTTTACAAACCAATAAAAGTCATATTCTCTCTCTCCAGAATATGGATATATACCTCCGCAGGATGCATCTGTCAGTCTTAAATTAAGCCAAATCATGACACATGTGGGATTGTGAAGAAGTACTGAAATACACTATTATGAAAGGTACAGTTACACACGTATTAAGGATTAACTTTATTTCTGCTATCTTTTACATATTAAATGTAAATATATGCAAACACAGAGGTATAAGTGACGTTTACCATTCTATAAAGCTGTTCTACACATGGCTTTGTAGAATGACAGTATAGACTTTGAATGATACAAGAAGAGACAAATAAATGATGCATGTAGTGGCTTAAAATGAATTTAAGAAAACTGAGATATCTCCAAGTGGTTGAGAAGCTAAAGATGTCATCTTCTGAGACACAGGATTTCACTGGAGGTATAAGACAGAATCAAATAAGAGAAGTCTTCATTTGTACTAAAGGAAATCTCATTAGGCTGTAACATAGTACAGGAAAAAAAGAAGAATAAAAATGGCAAATTAAGAGATTTACTTTAAAGCAGGGGAAATGGGCTAGTAAAAACCAAAAGAACCAAAGGAAAGAAAGGAGAATTTGGACAACATCATGCCTTTAAAACATGAGGAGGAAATATGTTTTTGAGGCACTGGAGCTGAAGGATGAGAATGGAGAATCAACCTCAGAGCTTGGAAAGCAAGGACACTTTGGGGTTATTTTTTTTCCAGGCAGACAGCAACATTCAGTAGGTGAATTTGGGTTCTTCCAGATCTGTGTGCAACAGCAACTGGAAAGGCTGGCTGCAGGCAGCTGCAATACCTGTGTTCACAGGAAAAGGCAAAACTGCATGTGTATTTTCCATGCATCATATCAGGGGAATCAGCATGCTTCATTTCAGAAGCTGATCTCAGTGGTGCTCTGTGAGCAAGAGACATTTCTTCCCCTCCCAGAGTTTTTGCATTCACTGCCTTCCTCTGGAAGACCCTTCATCCCCTCAAACTCATGTCATCAAAGCAGTTTTCAATACTGACCTCCCTTACTCCCGTCATACTCAGTGAAGACTCTTCTGTCCATTAGTAGGTGGGCTTAGCCCAGTTTTTTGTCTGCTTTTTACCTAGGGTTCCTGTGCCTTGTGATTTTCCCTGCTCCTGGCAGAATGCTTTTGCTGTCTCAAGGGTTTCATCTGCACTAAACCATTTCTCTGCTGCTTCACACTGTCTGCTGCTCTGTCCCTAGCTATTCTGCCTTTTAAGCTATTATTGGTCTGTCTGCTCCTGATTTTGATCAATACTCAAGTCCTTGAGCCTTTCACTCACACCATATTTCTGTCTTTGAACCTCAGTCCTTTGTACCCTGTCTGATCCTGCCACTCTTCCAGCAGTGTTTGGAAATAATAAGTCCCTAACGGTTAACTGGTTGCTTTTGTACAGATATGGCTTGATCACACAAATTGCAAAACACAAAAGAGACAGTGCTTTTACCAGCGCTAGTAGGCAAACCCAAAGGCTGCACAAAGTCCCCCAAATCTTTAAGAAACTTTGTGACTTTCTAAAGAATCCAGTACCTCAGTTTCCTTGGTATCTTCCCTGTGTAAGGTCCTCTTTCTGTGCTTACATTTTATTATAATATTACTGGTTGCAAAAAAGAATTGTTTTCTTGATAAGGGGGAGAAGATAGGAAAGCAGCTAGGCTGCTAACGTGGGATACGGGTAACTCAGTTCAAGTCTTTTCAAGGTACAATTGTCCTCATGTTATTTTGTGTAGATAATGGTTTCTCTGTCCTTCCATGCAGTATGAAGGGATGGTCTTCTTTTCTCACCAAAGTTTTGTAAGGATGAATACACTGAAGGTTTTGAAGGACTCTGTCACTACATCAGTGTGGCACTATAAGTGCCTAAGAAACAAAGGCAATTTATTACTCTTACGCCAAATGCCTAACAGCTTTCTGGTAGCATTAAACATCCACGATTTCATCAGCTTTGTTTAGCTTATATTCTCTTTTCTTTCACACCATAATGGTATTTACATATTCCCCATGCACAATTAAAGAAATATGTTACAGTATCTGATTAAATGGAAAAGGCCCAGGTTCCTGCCTCCCAAGATAGGTCATTAGGGTGACATAGATTTAATTTGGCTTTAAATAGGGCTGTGGATTCTATAGGAAAGAAGAACATTTTGTAAATATTATTCATATTCTTAATGAATATACATATCATAATTTTGAGTCTTCTGATTTTCTTTCCTCTCAAAAAATGTAAAAAGTGTGAAATCCAGGAAAACATCTTGGGCAACACTCCAAGTCATTGCATACTTTCTATGAACATTCATTTTTTAAAAAGCTATTGGGACTTCATACAGGTAAAGGGGCTTCACGGCACAGCTGGTCACATCAGTGACCAACTGTGACCAACTGAGGCCACATGTTGGTGTCGACTTCTTTTGAATGTTCCTAAGAGGCTACTGGCCTTAGTCCAATACCTTAATTAAGAGACTTCTCATTTGGCTTCACAATATTATGAGGGATTAGTTACTCATACAGAGGTGCAGACCAAGTTAAGAACAAGCTGGGTTCTATACGCTTCATTTCTGAAGGTCTAAAACCCAACAGAAATACTGTTTAAAGCCTTGCTTTAACCTGCAGAACTATGTATATTTTCCCCTTAAGGAAGAAATTAAAAGGCTTCAGCATTTTCCCAAATTAAGCTAATGAAAACTTTGATCATGATTTAATTCACTGTGGGAGACCGCTATAATTTGATAGAGATTGATTGTTAAATCTCTGTCAGGCACTCATTTGATCTACAAAAGTTGTTAGATATTGCAAGTGGTCAGAACCACTAAAAGTATGTTTTGCATATGATATCCAAAAAAAAAACAAACCAACCCAGTGCACACCATCAAATGAAAAACCCTCTCATATCAGCTTTTCTCAGTGTAGGGGTTTTGATAAGTGCAGCTGAATTCCTTTAAAAAACTAAGAAAATTTAGAGAGGATAAAGTCTAGATCTTCCCAGAAATGGTAGTTTGTGTTTGTGCCATTTTTCCCTAATGGTCACAAGGAAGGCTGGTAATAAACTACAGTTTCTTCATACAACTGTTCCACTTTCATCACACACACATTGCGCTTTTTTTTTTTCCAGAAGGACAGATGAAATAAAAAAGAATTGACTGGTCTTGATAAAAATCGATCAATATAGCATGCTACAAGGACTTTGAAGTGCAATCAGCACAGAAAATATGTCTTACTTTGAATCTGCCAGCCTTGAGAATATCTCTTTAATTTTAAGCCACAGACATTTTAACACAATGGATAAAACCAGACATCTAAGTAACCTGAAAACTTAGCCTGGTAGAGAGCAACTCTAGGCCATTTATAATCACAAAAAAAGTAAATCCAGCAATGACTTCCCCAAAGACTTTGTAGATACTGAAGTCTTGTACAATTTTGTGCATTTTGATCATCATGTTTCATAGTGTAAGTCATCTGTCAGCTTTTTAGGAAGCCCTCCCTACAGCCTGCTATCTGTCCCATAGCAGCAGAAGAGGCTGTGATGACGACAATGGGGAGATGCACTGTTGGTCAGAGCTGCCCATGGGAAATGTTCTGAAACATCCACAGCATCCAAAGCTGGAACTTTTAGATTGGAGAGGTCGTCCCTGGAGGTACAATTTACTATTTATAAATCTGTCAAAATCTCTTAATAAGAAGGTTTGAGTACATCATTTGGAAAGACTTTTATAAAGAAAGATGAGTCTTTATAACGGCTTAGCTCAAAGATGTCCAGTTCACACAGTGCTTTTGGTATCTGCAGTTTCACAATATAAATGGCATTGAAAATGAGGCAGGGACATTTTTCTGCCTTTCTCCCTTCCCTTTTATTTGACAAATAAGTCTAGGGACAGGAAGTTTATGCTGCAGGCTTTATGCTCTTTAAGTTCTGCTCAGTTCATGGTGATAGCTGCTACATTTGAACAACTGCCTGCTGATCTCCCGTTTGCCCTTTGCTGCCTTTGATGGGACTCAGTCTCCCAGCCATGGCAGCGGCTAGAAGGGGCCAGGATAAACACACAGAATGGGTTTGGCAAAACTTCTGGGGTAAACAGAAAATCTCCCAGGCTCCCACTGCTCAAACAACCTGTGCAGCTATTCCCACTCTCTCAGGCATCCTCCTTTACTCCCTGCTGCCTGTCAGCTATGCACACAAACCATAACATTCCTGCATACCTTGCTGTTATCACAAACCTATCAAGTTCAGACACCTCCCATGAACACCCTTCCTACACCTCCCAAACCAGACGCTCTATTCCAGCAGCCCTAGCACCCTCTCTGATGTACTCATAACTGGCAAAGTTAGTGTTTATCTGTGTCTTTCCCTAATGCTGTTTGTGGAAGGGTAGCTTAACCATAAGATGAAATTAATTGGCATGTAAAATTATTTGAAAAATGCAGATTAGTCCATTAAATCATTTAAAATGTCATGCATAGTGCAGCACAAAATTTGGCAGGGACAAGGGATGATTATCACAGGTAGTCCGGCCAGCAGATGGCTTAGGAACACTGGCTCTAAGAAAAGGATGCTGTTCTTATCTCCTGGACTGTCTCTTTCCATGTTAATAAATAACTACTAGTTCAGAAATGGAAATGCCTATCAGTTCTTTTTGCTTCACTGCAGAGTGCATTAACATAACACTGGCATTTGCATAACCACAATGCTACCACATGCTTATCTCTGCAGGGTCATTTTAAACTTCAATGTTACTAAAGCTGGTAAAGGGAGGCTGACAAAGTGAGAGGTATTTTTAGTTGGAGAATAATGATGCCCATTTAGTTTCCACATATAAGCTCCTATGGAGTGTTTTCATAAATGTTAGGTTTAGCTAGGTGTCATGGTGAAAACTGTTTCTGTATAGGTGCAATTGTTCCTATACATTGCATAGTAGTTCAGGTGGACTGTGAGATGTGCCAATATTTCACCACGCTTTTTGTTCATACTCTGCTATTCCTTGGTGATCTGATGCATCAAGAAACATTTTATTTGCATTGAATTTTGCAGTTCCTAAGGGGATGGACAGTGCCTGTGTAGGAATGTGCACAGTGCCTTGTTAGAGAGCTGTGCTATTCCTACAGTTCAGGAAAAGAAACCATGAGCTATAACCAGATGGGCTCAACGTCAGAAAAGAAACTGGGGCATCAAGCAGGTGGCAGATGGAAACTGTCTGTAAGAAAGTCCAGATGGTCAGAGCTGCAAAAACACTGTGCTGGAAAGGCTGGGCCTCCATTCCAGGACCCCTGGCATCTGTATTTCTTCCTATAGTCTGCCTGAATTCAGTCTGTGTTCAGGCTGATCGTCAAAGAATCATGAAGATCTTCAAAGGAGAATCATGGTTCCTCATGACTGCTTGAGGTGGTGACCTCAAAAATGGGAAAAAGTGAGAAAGCCTTCTCAGGAGGACAAGTAGGAAGGAAAGTTGCCGCGGTGTTTGCCATCACAACACACATCATGGTAGGAGTGCAGACAGGTGTCAGCCTCAGATTTGAAGGTGGATCAGACCACAGTCAGAGCAGACACTACATACAGAAACTTGCTGTAGCCGTGCCTCATGCTGACAGATACTGTGGTTGCCCCTGAAGGAAAAACAGTGTTGCTTGGAGGCAGGAGGATAAGGTGAAGAGAGTCCAAAATGAGGGTTTTGTCTGAAAGAGGCAGTGTTTGCATTTCCTCTGATTAACAGAGCACGCATCTCACAAGCCGGTGTGACCATTACCACAACACTTGAGTTGACCTTCCCTGGAGTAGGTGCAATATGTGAAGTAT